ACTGCGCCCCTTCTCGCAGGAGCTGATACCAGCATTGTAGCTGATGGCCCCGCTCCCACGTTCGCCCTTCTCGCAATGCCGGGTGAGAGCATTGCGCCCCTTCTCGCATGAGCTGATACCAACACTGTAGCTGATGACCCTCTCCTGCGGATGCCTTGGTTCCGGTCTCACCTCCGTCTCGCGGAGCACAGCCAGAGCCTGATGCCACTGCTGGTCCTTCTCGCACGCGTCGATACCAACGCTGTAGTTAAGGACGTCTGGTTCCAGTCTCACCTCCGTCTCGCGGAGCACAGCCAGAGCCTGCTGCCACTTCCCGCCGTTCTCGCACGCGCCGACTGTAGCGCTGTAGTGAAAGACGTCGGGGACCAGCTTCACCTCCGCCTCACGGAGCCCAGCCAGAGCCTGCTGCCACTGCCCACCCTTCTCACACGCGCTTCTTTCGGCGCTGTAGCTGAGGACGGCGGGCTGTATCCCTACTCTCTCCCGCTCGCGGAGTCGGGCCAGAGTCTGCTGCCACTTCTCGCGCTTCTCGCACATGCTGATTCCAGCGTTGTGGCTGAGGAAGGCGTCGGGCCCCTGCGATTCTTGGGCTGTGGGCTGTAAGGCATCACCCCTGCTTGCCAAGAGGAGGAGGAGGAGGGGAAGGGGGAAACGGACGGGGAGAGGGCGAAAGGAAGGGGAGGCATCTTGGCGGCCCCGCATGCGCCTATTCGCGGCGCCGCCACTGCGGGCGACGGCGTTTATTGATGGCACCATGCTTCTTTACGGCTCCCCGAAGCATCGCCGCTCCGAAGTTGGCGACGGGAACGCCCAGGCGGTCCACGCAGGGACGGGCCGCTCGGGCACGGAACGGCTAAGCCACCCAGGAGGAGGAGGAGGAGGAGGAGGAGGAGGAGGAGGAGGAGGAGGAGGAGGCGGCGGAAACAGGAGGAGGAACAAGAGGAACGAGGGAGGAGCAAGAGGCACGAGAGGAGGGGGAGAGGTGGAGGAGGAGGAGGAGGAGGAGGAGGAGGAGGAAGAAGAGCCTGGGCTCGGCAGGCCCTCAAGGAACTCGAGCGCGAGGACTCGGGCCGTGCCGAGGCTCGCCTCCTGCTTCCCCGCGGCCTGCAAGCGCGGGCGTGCGTAGCGGGGGAGGGCGGCGGCGGCTGGGAAGACCGGGGTGACCTTCAATGCGCTCGCCCGTGGCGTTTGTGGGTTGCTTCTCTTCTTCCTTTTCCTCCCCAGCCCCGTCCTCATCTTCCGCCTCCTTCTCCTCCCTCCTCCTCCTCCTCCTTCCTCCTTCCTCTCTCCTCCTCCTCTCCTCCTCCTCCCCCTCCGCCTCTCTCCCTCCTCCTCCTCCTGCTCCTCCTCCTCCTCCTCCTCCTCCTCCTCCTCCTCCTTTCCCGTCCTCCTCCTCCTCCTCCTTTTCCTCCTCCTCCGCCTCCTCGTCCTGGTTATACTCCTCCTTCTCCCCCCTCGTCCCCCCCTCCTCCTCCTCCTGCCTCTCCCTCCTCCTCCTCCTCCTCCGCCTCCTCCTCCTCCTCCTCCTCCTCCTCCTCCTCCGCTTCATCCTCCTTCTTCTCCTTCTTCTTCTCCTGCTCCTTTTCCCCATCATCTCCCCTCCCTTCCTCTCTCATACCCGGCCTCCTCTTCCTCCTCTCATTCGTCATCATCCTTTCCTCCTCCTCATCATCATCAGCAGCATCACCAATATCCTCCTCCTTTTTCTCTACATCCCCATCCTCATCCTCCTCATCATCAGCAGCAGCATCCTCAGCATCGTCATCAGCATAATCAACATCATCAGCATCATCACACGTATCATCATCAGCATCACCAGCATCATAATCATCCGCAGCATCATCATCAACAGCATCATCGTCATCAGCATCATCATCAGCAGCATCACACGTATCATCATCAGCATCACCATCATAATCATCAGCAGCATCATCAGCATCATCAGCATCAGCATCATCATCAGCATCATTCGCATCAGAATCACCATCATCATCATCACCACCATCATCATCAACAACAACATCATCATCATACTCATCATCATCAGCATCATCATCACCACCATCATCATCTTCATCATCAGCATCATCATCATTATCAGTATCATTAGTATCATTATCCTCCTCCTTCTTCTCCCTCCTCCTCCTCGTCCTCCTCCTCTTCGTCCTCCCTTCTCCTCCTCCTCATCTTCGTCCTCCCTCCTCCTCGTCCTCCTCTCCTCCTCGTCCTCCTCCTCCTTCTCCTCCTCCTCCTCCTCCTCTTACTCCCACTCCCCCCTCCTTCTCCTCCTCGTCCTCCTTCTCCTCCTCGTCCCCCTTCTCCTCCTTCTCCTCCTCCTCCTCCTCGTCCTCTTCCTCCTCTTCCTTCTCCGCTTCCTCCACCTCTGCCGCTTGATCCTTTCTTTTTCGGCGTTACAGATTGCCGAGGGTGGCGGGCGAGGACACGTCGACATTATGCACGGCAGGTACTCCTGCCCGCCTCCTCCTCCTCCTCCTCCACCTCCTCCTCATCTTCCTCCTCCACCTCCTCCCCCTCCTCCTCCTCTTCCTCCCCTTCTCCGCCTCTCTCTCGTCCTTCTCCTCTCCCTTCCCATCCTGCTGCATCTGGTCCTTGTCAACCCCCTGCCCCTCCACCACCTCCCCCTTCTTCCCTTTCTCCTTCCCCTCCTCCTCCTCCTCCTCCTCCTCCTCCACCTCCACCTCCTCCACCTCCTCCTCCTCTTCCTCCTCCTCCTCCTCCTTCCACCCTTTTCTTCCCCATTCCAAAGGTCAGGAGGCCGCCCGACGGCACCGGAGTGGCAGTTCACATTCCTTCTGAAGGGCGGGAAGGGGAGGTCTCGAGCGGAGGAAGGAGGCATCCACCGTCGCGCGGCAGTGCAGGTTCGACCCCAGCGAAGGCGTTCGAGGCCGAACGCCGCCGGTGGCCCAGGTGTCGGCCGTCGTGCAGTCATCGCGTTGAGATAGTAGGCGCCGTTTGCTCGAAAGTGGCGTCCAGTTTTGTGCCGTTCCTCGGGCCGACGGTCGTGGCTCGTTGCGGCCATGAAGGTTTCTTCGCTCCCTCGCAGAGTTTCTTCTGCAGTCGCGCCCGGCCCCTGCAGAGGAGTGGGTGGAGGTGCAGTAGGAGGGCAGGGCGAGTGACGAACGACAAAGGCGACTCTGGCGGCGAGGACGAGGAGGACATGGTCGACAAGGACGAGGAGGACGAGGACAGCGAGGACGAGAGGGGTGGAGGAGGAGGAGGAGAGCGAGGAGCAGGACACATCGACAAGGGTGACCAGGACAGGGACGAGAGTACTGTAAGGAGGACGAGGCAACGAGGACGAGGACGAGGAGGAGGACGAGGGCGACGTGGACGAGGAGGAGGAGCACGGGGAGGACGGGCAGCGGGATCCGGGAGGAGCAGGGGGCAGCAACCCGCCGCAGTGCTGGGGCCGCTTGCTGCCTCAGCCTGGTCGCAGCGGACGAGGAGCAGGGACGCGGAGCGCGGGAGGAGCGGGATCCGCTGCGCCGAGCTGGCCTCGGCCCCCGCCGCGCGGCGCCGGGCGGCGCCGGGCGGCGCCGGGGGAAGGCCAGCGACGTGGGCGCATCCGCCAGCCACTGGTCTTAGAGTCGGGCATGTCCTTCTACAGGAGAGGTATAACAAAGGTAGTCCAGAAATAGTGTCGGGACGATGTGTCTTCTATTTTTGGATGCTCTTGAATGTCTTAGAGTCCGCCCGTAGGAGGACACGCCCGACCTCACACTATCAGGAGGGAGAGAAACACACAGATCGCCGCGCGGTATTCCGTCTTGGGGAGCGCGCCGCGGCCACCAGGGCAAGCGCCGCCTGGGGGCGCGGTGGCCTCGCCGGGGGGTTTGCCGCGGCGCCAGCGGCGTCTCCTTGGGCGCGCGGCGTGCAGGGCTTGCCGCGGGTTTGCCGTGGTGTCGGCGTCGTCCGCTCGGGCGCGTCGAGAATACACGGCGCTGCGACATATCCTAAATCGTCCACCGCGCTTTCGATCTGACCTGAGGATGTGTTGTCCGGCTCTTGCGCTCTCGCCTCCCTGAAGGAAGAAGATTGCGTGCCACTCGTTCGTCGTCTCGCCACCGCCGATCCGGTCGCGTTCGAGCGCGCCCGAGCGCGCGCCCGAGCGCTCGATTCGTTTACCGTGCTTTCAATCTGACTTGTGGGTGTGTTGTCCGACTCTTGCGCTCTCTCCGCCGCCGATTTGGTCGCGCTCGAGCTCGCCCGACGCTCGATTCGTTTACCGTGCTCTCAGTCTGACCTGTGGGTGCTGACTGGCTCTTGTGCTCTCTCCTCCGTCGAGAAAGGAAGACTGTGTGCCACTTGTTCGTCGTCTCTCAAACGCTGATTCTGTCGCGCGCGTTCGAGCGCGCCTGGTCGCTCGGCACGTCTCCTGATTCGCTTACTGTGCTTTCAATACGATAAGTGGGTGTGTTGTCCAGCTCTCGCGCTCTCCCCTCTACCAAAAAGCAAGTGCCACTCGTCCGTCGTCTCTCCACCACCGCTCAGGTGGCGTTCGAGCGCGTCCCGGGGGGTGAGACAGGCCCCGCGCCGGGCGGTTGGCGTCTGACGAGAAACAAGGGAGCCATGCGTGCCCCTCGAGAACCAGCGTGATCCAAAATGCAGAATCGCTACAAGGATTGGGGGCCAGGATCCCTATCAAGGAAGTATCGTATGTGGTTGAACTCGCGTTTTGTCGGCAATCGTAGCGAAGATGTTCGCCTTAAACGCAGCACTGGCACCTCTCTCGTCCGTACTTTGACCATTTTTTGGGGGGGCAGGTGTGTGTATGTGTGTGTGTGTGTGTCTGTGATTCGACGGGCGCGCCGTGGCGTCAAGCCTGGCTGGAGAATGATCGCCATGAAGGAAAAGAGACCTTGAGTGAAACGAGCCCTGGAGGGGTCTTCGGACCGTCACATCAACGACTCGGGATGAAGAGCTGGTCATGGGAAGAGGCCCTGAGGCCCAAGAGGCGGAGGAGGGGGCTGACCAGACAGGCCGACAAGGTGGCGAGCGCGTTGGACGGCCAGCTGAGCGACCTTGAGAATTTCTTGATGGCCAGCGAGATCCAGCTTCAGGAGAGCATCGAAGAGGCCATCTTCCGCTCAGCTCCGGTGGGGTCGTCGGCGAATCAGAGGGTGCCCTCTCCGCAGGTGCCCTTGCAGGCACTCCCCCTTGGCTGTTGATTCGAGGGTCGCTGGGCACGGGCATCGCCAGTAGGCTGTAAGTGTGTGCGTTGATGTCCCGGCATCGGCCAGTGCGATGCATGCGCGCTAGGCGGACGAGAAGGAGGAGGAGGAGGAGGAGGAGGAGGAGGAGGAGGAGGAGGAGAAGGACGAGGGGGGAGGAGGAGGAGGAAGAGGATGAAGAGGAGGACGAAGGAGGAGGAGGAGGAGGAGGAGGAGGAGGAGGAGGACGAGGACGAGACGGGGAGGAGGAGGAGGAGGTGGAGGAGGAGCAGGAGGAGCAGGAGGAGGAGGAGGAGGGTTGGCTGCGCCTCTCGTCGCCTATGTCTGTGTGTGCGCGCATCGCAGACATGGACGTGCGCTGCTGCGGGTGCACTGCGCGGCAACATCTCTCTCAGTTTGCAGGGGTCGGTTTGTCGCTGCTCCACCTGAGGGAGAATGAACAGGGAAATGGGAGGAGGAGGAGGAGGAGGAGGAGGAGGAGGTGGAGGAGGAGGAGGAGGAGGTGGAGGAGGAGGAGGAGGGGGGTAAACGCGACAGGCTCGCTCCTTACGTTGGTCTAGGGTGAAAGGAGGGGGAGGAAGAGGAGGAGCAGGCGGAGGAGGAGGAGGAGAAGGGGGGAAGAATGAGAGGATGCAAGCCGGGTGCGCTCGCGCCATATCTGGCCTCCTACCCCTCACACCCATGGTTTCCTATTGCGCTGATTTCTTGTATCCGTGGGGAGTTCTAGAGGACCGTGATCCTCCACATGATTCCATCGAATGATCTGCACTCAGAAATGGGTGCCCTGGGGTTTTGTACGTCGGAGGAGGAGGAAGTCGCGGAAGTTAGCCAAAGGATGACCAGGAGGAAGAGGAGGTCCACGACAAAGGAGCAGGAGGAGGATCAACAGCAGCAGCGGCAGGAGTAGGAGTGGAAGGAGTTGGAGGGTCAGCAGAAATCTGAAGATAGAGTGAGAGAAAGGAGGAGGCGGCGGCAGCGACGAGGAAGGAGTCGGACGCCTGAAATGATCAGGAGGGTGGCCCGTGGAATTCGACGAGAAGCTATCGATGTGGCAAACGCTACAGCCAGAATGACACTTGCACTGATGCAAGAGTGCACGCCGGTCGGTGAAAGTATGTATTTTTGCACTCCCAGACCTCAATATGCTTCAAGCGCCTTCCTATTTCAAGAGTCGATCTGCTGTAAATATGTTATGTTATTCTCCGCGGGGCCTGAACCGAATTTACGTTAGCTGCTTTCCACGTCATGGTTTGACGTACTTGTTCCGACCGACGTTCACGGCCAGCGCTGCGGCGAGAACGTCGATCCGTTGGACTGATGACTTCTGGACATGGGTCCGTATGGCAGGGCATTGCTGAGAGGCTGAGAACTTTCAAAGAGGAAGGACAATACTGGAAGCTAGCCCTGGACAGATTGGACGGCGCAAACCAATAAAGCATCGGGGAAGAGAGGAGAGTATAAGACAGAGTCTGTAATGATAAAAGTGTAGAGTCGGAATTCGTGTTAGCCAGTCGGAGGAATCAGCAGGCCCCGCCCATCCCCAACCTCCCTCCCATAACAGAAGAGCCAACGGTGCCGCAACTTGGTGTTGGGACTGGCGCGCGTTCCCCCTAGCGAGCAGAAGGTGCTCCCGCTTGGTCCTGCTGCCGACGACTAGGCGAGGGGGGGGGAAGCACGGGCCCCGCGCAGGCGCGAGGGGAACTTCGAGAAAATCCCCGCGCGGCGCCGCGGGGAGAGCATCATTTAGGCTTCTTCGCGGGGCCTCATGTCCGATGAGCTTGCCGAGGACGAAGCGTGCGCCGCGCCGATGCAGCACTGCCACCTTCACGCGCCAAACCTGCGCGGCACATTGGCAGGACAGCACTTCGCCTGTTCTCGCGCGGTCCCGCTGCCGCTTTCCATCAAGGGAGTAAAAGCCACCCGGACCGGACAATTGGCGTTTACTAAACGGCCTTGTGCGTTTGCTAAACAGCCCTGCCCTGTTTGGTTCCCTCCTTGGGTGCGTTTGCTGAACGGCTTCGCGTGTCGGGTGGTTCTTCTCGGGGTGGATGTTCTGCTCTCTATTCCAGCGACCCGGCGTCCACACAAATACGAGAAAAGACGCGCCGAGCCGGAGCGGGAGCGCCCCTTCCCAGGCGAAATCTGCCAGGGGCTAGGGTTAAGTCGGGCCTGTCCCCCTACAGGGGGATTTTCGACGAAAAATAAAAAATACCCCCAAAATAATCAAAATATAAGTAAAAATAAAGTTTGGGTATGATTTGTTGACTTTTGTCCCCCCCCTTTTTTGGTGCATTAAAAAAAATTCGTCGAAAATCCCCCTGTAGGGGGACACGCCCGACATAAGGCTAGGGCGAGAGAGAGAGACGAGTCGTCCGCGCGCGCGGCCCCGCCTCCAACCGACGCGGGAGAGCGGCACGTTGCCGGGCGAGAGTTCTGCCCGGCGCCGAGGCGAGAGCGACATTCCGCCCGTGCGCGCGCGGCCTCGCCGTCAGCTGGCGAGCGTTATGTCGGGCGTGTCCCCCTAATGGGGGATTTCCGACGAAAAAAAATCAGGAGGGAAAGAAACACACAGACACAATTAATCGTCGATCCCCCGGAATATATGGGAAAATATGGGAAGCGGTGGGGAAGGCAAAAACAAAGAAAATATGGGAAATGATGGGGGATCTTTTTATTTGTGTGTATGTATTTGTGTGTCTCAGGGCCCCTTCAAAAAAATATATACCAAAAATGCACCAAAAAGGCAAAAAGATAGTCAACAAATAGTCCGCAGACTATGTTTTGACCATTTCCTATTTCTGTTTGGTCTTTTTTACACTTCGTCGAAAATACTGCACGCGCCGTTCCCAATCGGGAGGTCAGTGCTGAGGAAGTACAATCAACACGCATAGTAAGGATGAGCGGCTTTCCAACTTCACCCTTGCAACCTCCCCCTTCCACCCATTCTTGACTGCGTTCGCTAGCCGGGCCTTGATCGCAAAGTGTCGACGTTGCCTTCCAAGAACCTTGTATCCTTATCGTGCGTCCTTATCATGCGGGTTGACTGTAGGCGCGCGCGGTGCCGATGCGAGAGCAGCATTTCACCCTTTGGCGAGCGATGTGCGCCCTGCCCCTGTTTCGCCACAACGTCGGCAGCGCCGACGGGAAAAAGTCCATTGTCTCCGAGGGTGAGCGCTTACTTCGTACTTTTTCCGATGGGTAGGCCGTCGGAGGGTCTCATGTGTTTGAAGGATGTTCGTATGTCCTAGGTCCGACAGTATATGAGGAGGGTGACGAGGACAAACAGGAAGAGACAAAGTGGTGTAAGGATCAGCAACAAGCGGAGGGCAGTGACTCGAACGGAAGCGGAGGAGGATCGGATCGCGGTGTGTTTGAGACGAAAGACGATTAGCAATTTCGGATCTGAGGCGCGATTGTTTTTTGGGTGGCGATCCCAAAGTTCTTTGCGCCGTGGGGTCCGAACAATGTGACGCTATGGATAGGCTACATGTATGCACATATGTACATGTATATATATATATAGATATGGCGTCCTAGGTTTCTTGCCATTTCTGTGTGTTTGGTAGCGTGTTTCCCAAACAATGGAACCATTCTCGGTGTGCAAGCTATGTGGTGCAACCTGCGTGGTGCAGGCGATGAGGTTCGATCAGTGCGTGCTGCACGCAGCGTGGTGCGGCATGTGAGTGGTGCAGCGCACGCGATACCAGCAAGGGGGTGCAGACAGCGTGCTGCGATCCGCGCGTGGTGCAAGCTGTGTGGTGTGCGCTGTGCGGCGCTGTGCGGTGGGCGTGAGAGCTATGGGTGGCGCGCGCAGCGCGGTGCAAGCGGCACGAGGTGCCCCCGAGACGCCCACCGAGGGAAACTTCGGCAGACCCACCAAACGGGGCGCCCACGGGGCGCCCACCGGGCGAAACTTCGGCAGGCCCGGCCTGCACGCAGGGCAGACCCAGCCAGCGCGCGGGGCGCCCACGAGGCGAAGCCTCGGCCGCCCACCGGGCCAAACCCAGGCATAACCCTGCCCAATCACAGAGACACGCAAGCGAGAGACCTTACGTGCACACACCTCTGGGGGACTGCTGCAGCATGTCCACTGTGCGTGCCTTGTGCTTCGTGGCTCCTTCCTTTGGGGCGAAGTCTGCGTGCAGGTGTCGTGTTCATCCCCATCCGGCTGACGATCGCCAATCGGACCATTTGGTTGCATCTGTGGATGTATAGTTTGAACACGCGTTGTGCTGCTCGTTTGCCTACATCGCGTTGCCTGGTGGACCCTGCTCAGGCAGCTTCCCAGCCAGCGAAGCAACCGGAGCATTGACTGTGTCGCGCTGGTGCCTAGTACCTTCGAGCATTCGCAGATGCCGAGGCTGCCAGATTCCAAAGCCTGGACGTCGTTGTGTACTTGAGCGTCGTCCTCCTGCCGCGCCTTCACGGCATCTCTCCGAGCAGGCGCGCTCCGCAGACCTCCCACGCCGCAGGTTTCCGACTCGCCGGCCTCCTCCTCCTCCTCCTCCTCCTCCTCCTCCTCCTCCTCACCTTTTCCCGTTTCGCCTCTCGCAAACGAAAAGCCAGAGGTGTCATGCTTGACAGTCAGGGGCCCAGAGAGCGAATACGGACGCTAAGAAAGACGAGACTTGCGGCGCGACCTTTGCTCGAGTCGCCAGGGGCCTGGATCCCTTCCAACATCGACGCCTGGAGACGTGCTGGGGTGCGTTCGTCGGGGCACTGGTAATGGGGGTCAGTGCTGACTGGAGTCAGCCGATCCCCCCGGATGCTCTTTTGCTGCCCATGATTGGGAAACCACGTGGAGACGACATTTTTCTCATCCCGTCCATTCGCCGACCCTGGTCCAGGAACTGTTCTGTGGCCTTGTCTGACCTAGACCCAGACATCCGAAGACGATGTGATGCGCTCAATGCGCGGCCCCAGAGGTCCCGACCCCTTCCACCGTGGCAGTTTTTAGCTCCAGATCCGTGTTTGATGGCCCCAGTGCCCCCCAACGGGTCTCAGAGGCCGATACCGAGGAGGAGCGCCCAGATGACCAAGTTCACACATCCCCAGGCCGAAAGTGTTTTCCTGTTGAAATTATGAGAACCGATGGATCCAATTGAATCCTTGTTCGGCTGTGCGACAGCGTCGTGGATCCTATTTTTGTCTTGCGCGGATCCAATTTCCGGTGTGTGAAAAAAACAATGGATCCAATCATTCAGTGGGAATAAATCTATAATCGTAATTCACATCCCGGACCCAGGGCAAGTGGGATCCGCGGGGCACCGCACGCGAAGCATCATGCTATCCACGGAACTGTGGATTTGCTGACCGAAGCGATGATTATACGGGGGAGGGGGGGGTCCTTCCCAGGACAGAGAGGGCTACATGTATCCGCTCGCCTGAACGGCACGTCGCTTCCGACATTTGGGGCTCAAGAGGCAAATCTTCCGGCCTTCGTGTAAGCATCGTCGGCGACTTGGGGGTCGGCGCTGACCCGGGCGCCACCAGGCTCGGACCACCACTCCGAAAACGGACCCAGCGGTGGCGACGAGGGCGCCCCTGCAGAGACCCAAGGGGGCCCACAGCATCGAGCCGCGAGGCGACCTCGGACTTCGATGGCAAGATCAACGAGATCATCAAGGCCATGACAGAAAAGGCGACCGAGTTCTTCCAGCGGCTTGCGGAGCCCCGCCGGGGGGGGGCACAGCGGCGGGAGGAGAGGACATCAGATGAGGATGAGGAGCAGAAGTAGAAGAGCAGCGGGCAGGGGGGGCACAGCGGGCAGGAGAAGAGCAGGAGAAGAGCAGGAGAAGCATTGAAATGTTTGGCCGTTTCTGGCTCCGGGGCAACCCTGCGGAAGCCTCCTCGAGCCCGATAGGAGAGGAAGCAGGAGGGGAGAGAGAGAGAGAGAGAGGACGGGCACTCCGACTGGTTTCGCCTTTCCTGGTGGGTCCCTGAGGGGTTCTCCTGGCCACGGCTGAGCGCAGCTCGAGACATGTTTCCGGATGCCTAAGAGGGGTCGGGGGAAAGATCAGAGCCCCGAATCATCAGGGGTAGCTCGGGTCAGGGCTAACTCGGGTTCGTTTTTCGGGATTCCGAACCCGACTTACCCCGGACCCGACTTACCCCGGATAATTCGGGCGTCCAGAGCCCCACATCATCAGGGGTAACTCGGGTCAGGGCTAACTCGGGTTCCTTTTTCGGGAATCCAAGCCCGAGTTACCCCGGACCCGAGTTACCCCGGATAACTCGGGCGCCCAAAAAGAGCAGCGAAGGGAGGGAGGGAAGGGGAGGAGGAGCAGGAGGATGAGCAGGTGGATGAGGAGAAGGAGCAGTGTCAGGAGGAGGCAAGCGCTGCCCTAAGTCGCGGCTCAGGAGATCGAGAAGAAGTTCTACGCAGGTGCGCGCGCACCCATTTCTTTACTGCTGATCGGCGGTCCTTTCGTCATTGCCACTTTCTGGCTCCTCATTGCTCCCTGTCCCAGCTCCCTTCCTGCCTCTCTGCGTCCCGCTAGATGGGGATGATGAGGACTAGGCTGACGATTATGGTGATGATGATGCTGATGATGATGATAATGATTGTGGTCATGATGCTGGTGATGCTGATGATGATGGTGATGCTGATGAGGATGATGATGGTGGTGATGGCAGTGACGACGGTGATGCTGATGAGAATGATCATGAACATGATGATGGCGATGCTGATGCTGATGGTGATGGTATGATGAGGGTGGTGGTGGTGTTGATGGTGAGTATGATGATAATGGTGATGATGCTGCTGCTGATGACGATGATGAGGCCGATGATGACGAGGATGCTGATGCTGATGATCAGGATGATGAGGATGATGGTGCTGTCGGTGATGGTGCTGCTGATGATGATGATAAGGATGATGGCGATGACGCTGGTGAAGATGATGCTGATGATGATGATGATGACGAGGATGCTGCTCCTTATGATGAGGATCATGATTCGTCGGCGCCGGCGGCTAACGATGACACTGATGACAATGATGATGATGATGATGATGATGATGATGATGATGATGATGATGATGGCATCGGTGAGATTATGACGATGGTAACGGTGACGACGATGGCGATGGTGATGATGATAATGATGATGATGATGATGATGATGATGATGATGATGATGATGATGGTGATGCTGCATATGATGATGCTGATGCTGATGAAGGTTGACGATGGTGCTGATGATGGTAATCATGGTGATGCTGCAGATGACGGTCATGATGATGATAATGATGTTGTTGATTGTGCTGACGCTGCTGCTGTTGATGATGGTGGTGATGATGACGAGCTAAGGATGGTGATGTTTTCGATGCCGATGATGATGAACATGCTAATGCTGAGGATCATGATGGTGGTGCTGATGATGATGATGCTGATTACGCCGATGCTGATGACGCTGACCATGCTGGTGGTGATGATGATGGTGATGATGATAATTGTGGTGGTGGTGGAGCTGGTGGTGGCTTAGACGTGGTGGTGTTGGTGGTAGCGGTGGTGGTGGTTGTGGTGGTGGTTGTGCTGATGATGAATATGATAAATACGATGATGTTGATGACGATAATGGTGATGCTGCTGATGATGATGAGGAGGATGAGGATGAGGATGATGATGAGGATGAGGATGAGGATGAGGATGAGATTGATGAGGGTGAGGATGAGGATGACGATTATGATGATGGCGATTGTGGTCATGATGATGAGGAGGAGTAGGAGTAATATGTGTGGAGGAGGGGGAAACCTTGGAGGAGGCGCAGGCTCAGGGAGGATACACATGAGGGACGAGTAGGTAGAGGAGGAGGGATACGAATCTGGTGATGAGGAGGATCGAATGGATTAGTAAGATTATTTGGTGGAGGATGGGCTTCGGGAAAACGAGGAGGGCGCTGGGGAAGCATGACGATACGACGAGTGAGATGTTTAAGTCACGCGGCCAGAGGGGGGGGGTGGGGCAATCGATACGCAGCACGAGCACCGGGGTGCTGATGAGGACGTCAGGACATGCAACTTCGCCTTTCCCCTCCGCCTCCCCCTCCCCCCACCTCCCCCCCCTCCCGGGGAGGTGGGGGAAGGAAGAGCCGACCCAAGGTCATCACATTGTCCGCCCGGGCCGGGTCGGCCAACTGGGAGCCGGCGGTAAACCGTCAACCTTGGTTGCCGCCGGGAACTCGTAGAGCTTCCTCGTGCAGTGCGGGCGCGGCAATCTCGCATTGCGCGCGCGAGGGCGCGGTCTCATGGAGGAATCCTTGCGTTCTCCGTGCCCCCTCCTGCCTGCCCCCCCTCCGTCGCCCGCTTCTCCCTTTTTTGGGGGGGCCCTGCCGCGGTACCAAAAAATCGTGGCGAGGCGGCCACTGTCTTGGCCGCTTTCGGGCTCCCCCCGTCGGAACGTCCAAGCAGACCCGCCTAACTGGAGAGCTAGGGGTTGTGGCGGGGGGGGGGGGGGGGCGCGGCGGGGGCGGGGAGAAGGGGAGGGGGTAGAGGAGGAGGAGGAGGAGGAGGAGGAGGAGGAGGAGGAGGAAGAGGAGGAGGAGGAGGAGGAGGAGGAGTACATTGCTACCTCGTGGTCATATTTCTTTTCTGGGGCCTCTAGAGATCGTACGCCCCCAGTTGCACTGGTAAGTATATGGGGCCCGTACGTCGACGTAGTGGCTCAAGGCGCGTCACAGACTGAGTGTTCGAGAGGGAGGGGGAGCCGTACACTGCGTGCCCCTGCACGTGGTAGCGGAGCACCTCAGTGCCCCCCTTCCGCCGCCGCCAGGCGATGTTGTGACTTCGGCTCCGACCCAGACGACTGCGAGCCGGCGTTCGACAGCAGCAAATTCGAGATTCCCGGTTATCCTTGAATTTTTGACCGTTACTCTGTCTGGTGACGATGTATGGCGGCAAGGACGCAGGACATGTACCACCAGTGCATCAACAGCAAGGCCCGCAAATATTCGGATCGGCTCCAGCTTCAGAGATAGCGAATTCCAAGACACCGCCGAGCTGGAGCCCCGACTTCGAGTCACACTATCCACTGTGGGTCTATGCTCAGGACCTGGCCCTTTGGACTGCAGCGACGGAAGTACCCCCAGCACGACAAGGGCCAGCAGCAGTATTATAGTTCGGAGGAATGGCGAGAGTCCTGGGCAGAGACATGAATGTAGACGATTTGGCGAACGGACGACAAGAATGGGATTATACACATCATCGGATGGTACAGGTCGCTGGTATTAGTATTCTGTTGCGAAGCCTACTACGACGTTTCGGCGATTCGGACGGAGAACAGAGTATTCGGCTGTTGACACAGTAACTTGGATTCACACGAGTGCATGGCGAGACCATTGATCAGGCACTTTCGAGGTTCGATGTCACGGCGCATCACAGTGTACAGCGCGACGAACATCCTTCAAACCTTCGCACGCGGACCTAAAAACTTGGCATGCATCTTATTTAGAGCTCTTAAAGTGGCCCCAGCGATGTGGTCACAATTGCTCATACCATTCAACGGACTGTTACCGGCGACCCAAGACCAGCTGAATATCCTGAAGAGAAACATGCGGCAGCAAACACACATATTATAACATCATCCGCACGGCATCCTTCAGAACACAGCACCCACGGCAGCAAACACTCCTGAGCTATTCCGGTGATGTTGGACCCCTTCAGACGAAGGCTGCTATGGGATACGGTATGATAGCAGCACCTCAGCAATAAGCAGCAGCCTACCAGGCGGACAGAATCTCACAGGCATGGAATGAAGATGATATGTATATACATATATATATATATATGAGAACTTTCCTCGGAGATTGCGAGACGGAGTCTGACGACGACTATCAGCAATACCCAGTTTGCACCGATGAAGCCATTGAGTCATACGCGCCGAGCCTGCTACCACCTGGAGTGCCAACAAGTAGGACGAGCGCCACGATGATACTCGACGAGACCTACTTGAACATCAAGACGCGCTATCGAGCTTATACGAAGAGAACGACGAGTTTCGTAGATTCAACAAGCGATATTATGGACGACAGTCAAAAGGAAAGGGTCAGCGCGGATTCAGGAGGCAGTTCGGCAAGCCAAGCTCCTTCCAGACAGAGGCTGACCCCACATACTTCAAGGGCGGAAAAGGAAAAGGCTATCATAACAACAGCAATAAGAACCGGAAGAACCTTGTCACCGGCGAGACGATGAAGCGCCACGAGTGCGGAAGCGACGAACATCTTCGACGTAAGTGTCCTAAGCTTCATTATCACACACTCCCGGCAGGTGCAGCGTCGTCCTCGGCAGAGCAGGGTCATGTATATGAAGCGGCAGCATTTCTTCCACGGAGAAGCCGAGCCGCAAGCAGAACCAGCATCTCCATATGCTCCAACGATGGATTGGTCTCAGATAGTTACCGAAGCCATGGGCGCCACGATGGACAGCGGCACGCACCCCTGGAATCATCCAGAACGACAGCTGCCGGATTTTATGACGAGAATGAATTACCATGCGCATCAGCCCCAAGCGCTAGAAGCAGTTGAGCATCAGCACAATTCCATCGCGCAGCAGTTACGAGCGTTGGATCAGACATCGGGTGATAGCGAACAGATCTCAGCGCGGATATTCCTTTAGTGGGGCCTCGGCCTGGAAGCAGACAATAACAGCGCAC